TTCCTTGGGAGGACAACCTATCAACCACGAAATAGCCAGCTCAGCGAAAGGCCTGAAAGCAGCTTTAACCCACCAAGCTAACAGGACAGAAAAATGTGAGTACTTCTACACTCCCCCCTCCCCACCCGACCAGATAAAGGGATAGGGTGGTCAGGTGCAAGACCCAACTAGTTCTCATCTGGGCCTACTTAACTGATAGATCTTGGAATCCCTTGCCCAGAGATACCCTCAGTGCAGCTGGGTGAAGAGGAGGATTAATTTGCTGTTTGAGGAGGTACACCAAGGGGACTTCAGTGCTCCTTAACAGAAACAATGCTATTTTCAGAATCCACATTTATGAACAGGGTACAGGTTGCTAAGATGTTTGTCCTCATGTTTTGCAGTTTCTTGGGCATCCCATTTACCCTTAGACCCCATGCAAGTTGTTAATCCCTAAATAAAAACAACTAAAAACCAGCTCAAGGACTGCATTAGTGTATGTGAAGATGTGGAAAATGTGTGTTGCCTGGCTGTGCAATGCTTAGGGGGACCCAAAACTCAGCGGCCCCTAAGGGGGTGAGTGCTACATAACAATTGTTGACTAGCCAATGCAAACTTTCTTTACTTTACTTTTTCCTAAAATTTACAAAAATGTGATCAGTTGCTCTTTATACCTTTTGACTTACATGCAGGTGCTTACCAAGTGCTTGTGGGTACATAACTACAAAAAAAAACTCAAAATATGTAGGTGCAAAAACATCCCAGGGTACTTCTTCAGGATGGAAATAGCCTTTTTGCTTGAGCACTATGGCCACAAAGCACCATTTTTTATATATGTGATGCCTAGACAAATGGACTGCCCTTGCTCTGCATAAAATGCCCAGGACTATTTCATCCTCAGCTAAAACTAAAAGAAAGTGCTGTCCTTTTGCAAAGTACCAACACATTCATCTTTGCCAAGCACCTGGCATTGTCAATTGAACAACATGTTTGTCTTTGCAATTGCTTAATGATGATGAATCAGATGGTCACACCCAGAACACTTCCTCCTTCTCCTTAAAAATCACTTGTTTTTTTCACAAATACAATATCTTCTCTTCTGTTGTCTCTTGTAGTCCCTGGATAGATTTTATGTGTTGCTTCAAAATATTATACAGATAGGGGACTCTCAGATCTTACCTCCAAAGTGAGTAATTGTTAAAGAGAAGGACCTTTATGAAAAGTCTATGAATGCAATGAGGCAATCAGTTTAAATGAGGGAACCAAAGGGATGCAGGAAAAGGGCTGGAATTCAGTTTTCATCAGAAGTCATGATCTTGCCTGTAACATTATGGCACATCTAGAGTGGGGAGGTAATGAGGGAAGATAGCTACAGCTTCTATTGTTTTTTAGACTAATTAGGATTCTAGATCACAGAATGATGACTGACTCAACCCATAAAATCTGAGATTGAAGCTGTATCAGACTGTTTTAAAAAATGGCACAAATTTGCATATTTTTTAATCAACCAATGATTCACCACTATGTAGTCCTGACATTCTTTATACATTAGATTAGTGTATATATTATATATTTTGTGTCCCACTGATGGCAGGATTACGAATGGTTTCTTATTGTACAGTATGTGTCCCTTAAGTTTCTCACATACACATGATGAGGGGCCGCATGGTTTATAAATGATGTTGAGAAAACTTAGGGTGTGAAAAGTTTTGGGTGGGTAAAACTTTCATCCATAGGGTCCAAATTTTATTTGGAAGCCAGTCACCTATATATGCAATTGAAGGGATTCTCACAGCTCTCTATCTCCCTGCTGGCTGAGCCTGCTGCTGGGTGAAATGGTCAAGTGCAGCCAAAACACTAAAAAAGTTACCAGCTCTGCCTGTTTGTTTGGGGGAACTACCATTTGCATACTGTATATGACAGCTTCTTGCTGTCAATGGTTCCCAAGAAAGCAGCAGTGTTGGCACCCACTGCAACCCTAGCAAAGGGACAGGAACAACAATGACATCACAGCCCAAATATGATCACTGGCCATATATTGGTTAGGACACCGACAATGATTCCAATACTATCTCTGCCTCTACCCCTATAGCGTTGATGACAGCTTAACTAAACCGCATGTCACGCACATAAAAATACATGTCAATAGAAAACAATAGACATCCATTTGTGGGGCATATTTATGCATTTTAATGCATGTTTCTGTGTGAACAGGTACTTAAATGTTGGTGGTTATTGCTGAAAATGTGCATATTTATACTGAGTCAGAGAAACACCAGAGACTATTCAATAAAAGCTTAGTGACATAATTCTGGTGATACTGCTGTGTTAGGGAGTCTAGCGCCAAGTTCACATAACCCCCCTTTGACACTTTAGACACCATCACCAGTGTATCATTATTTTGTAAAGTAATTGTATTAGTAGTATTTACTTTTGTATATTTTTATTGTATGTCAGTACAATTTCACTAGATCCATTTGTTATATAGTTTTTTTTTTTACCTATAGGACGTGTTTAAAAAAGATCACTTTTTAGGATTTCCAACATTATTAACCCGTAATAAATATTTTCCTGGCGCTAACATACAGTAGATGGTTTGTGTACATTTCAAAAACATTGCAAGTGGTTAAATATACAATATAAGTATGTATACAGTATGTACTGTATAGTGCTATAATAATAACAATAATATTATCATTGACTTAAAAAATAACCAAACACAAGGCCGCAGATAGCCGAATGACGGCTTCTCTGCTGCCGGCCAGTTCTGGGTGGATGTCATATGACACAGCTGACCACATGATATGGTAAAAGGACAATCCCAGTGGCCTTTTACCACATGATCAGCTGTTTCCAATGACACACTGATCCCCGGGAAACAGGAAATGCAATTGCCGGTTATCGTCTGCACTTTCCTCATGCTGTTACAGCATAAGGAAAGTAATGCCAAGAACCGGCAGCTGTCAGAGGAGGGATCGGCACCAATCGTCAGGGCACTGAAGATCAGTGCCCAGCAGTGCAGTCCACAAATGCCCAGCAGTGCCGCTCGGCATGTCCAACCCACCTGTGCCCACCAGAGCAGCCCAGCAGTACAATCCATCAGTGCCACCCATCAGTGCCACCAGTCAGTGCCCAGCAGTGCCGCTAGTCAGTGCCACCCATCAGTGGCGCCTATCAGTGCACATCAGTGCTGCCTATCAGAGCAGCCTCATCAATGCACATCAGTGAAGGAGAAAAAGTACCTGTTTGCAAAATTTTATAAAAGATACAAAGAAAAACTTTTTTTAAACATTTTTTTGCTATTTTTTTGTTTATAGTGCAAAAAATAAAACACCCAGTGGCAAGTAAATACCACCAAATGAAAGCTCTGTTTATGTGAAAAAAATTATAAAAATTTCATATGGGTACAATGTTGTATGACCACGCAATTGTAATTCAAAATATGACAGCGCTGAAAGCTGAAAAGTGGCCTGGTAAGGAAGGGGGTATAAGTGCCCGGTAGGCAAGTGGACCCTGGCCTTTCCCAAATAGGTTCTATTGCTGAATAATTTTTGTGGTTTAAAAGTGCAATTAATTTATAATGTTACTATTACTGTGAAATCTTTATATATGTGATTGTTGGTCCATACACTATCTTTATTCAGTATTTACATTTCAAAGGACTTTTTAATTAAACTTTATGGTATTTTCTATTTTTTTTTTTAGAGATTGTCTTTTTCATATTGCTGTATTAAATACACAATATGTTTTTTAAGGTAATTGTTGTAGTTCTATATCTAGTTTGTCCCTGGTCAACGTGCAAGGTGGTGCAGTTCTAGTTTGGGTTAAGACTATACGGTGTTGGATCGAAAAGTAATCCATCTCAGAAAAATGTTTTCTAGAGTTATAATAAAAGAACTATTGCTAAAGAGGTTTTACAGACCAAGGAACCCTGTTCGTATCAATAGTAAAGAGCTACAGCATGTTATTTGTTGAGAATTACCCCTATATGCATTTTAAAGTACCAACTCCCAAACTGATACAACAATTAAAACAAATGGATGGAAAAGACTTGAACTTCCGGTTACCATTAATTACTGTTTTCAGTAAGGGAAGTTTATCTACAGGATTTTTTCCCATTTGAATATTTGTATGGTAGACATCCTCAGGGACTCTTGGATATAGCTGAACAACAATGGAACCAAGAAGTTTCACTTCACAAACACATAGTTCAGATGAAAGACAGGAAAGCAACAGTGATAACCATAGTTCAGGAACATATGCAGAAAGTCCAAGAAGGTCAGAGATTATAACCGCTTTGCTTAAAATCAAAACCTTTAACCCAGGACACAGAGTTGTAGCTCTAATGCCCATTTTTGAGAGTACATTTCTTAAAAAATTACTGGGCCCCCAAGTGATCACAGATAAAAATCTTTGATGTCAGCTACCAGGTTACAAGCCCAGAAAAAGAAAGCCCCTCCAAATATACCATGTCAGTAAAACCCAGGAAGGATCAGAACACTCTCAGTAGAAAGTGACCCTAAAGTATTACCAGCAAAAGATGGTTAGGATGTCCCTACTTGCTGTTCAGATTCAAGAGGTGAGAGAGAACAAATCTATGTTTTTAAAATTACTTTGCTGATCTAATAACTTATCATGACACTGTCTTTTGTCAAAATAAAGTTAAGACTTTATTGGTTACCTAAAAGCTCAGAGAAAAGCCATTTCAGTACAGAAAATGTTAGCATTTGAGATACAGAAAAATCTAAAAGTAAGTGATAAATTCCAACAGTGCTTATTAGTAAGCCAGATGGCAGCCTGAGGTTCTGTAATAACCTTTGATATTTAAATAAAGCATGTAAATTTGATGATTATGTCATGCCCCAGGTAGATGATTTGATAAAAAGGTTGGGTCCTGTAAGGTACACTATCACCCTTAATCTTTCTAAAGGGTATTATCAGTTTCTCTTAATAGCCAGGGCAAGAAAAATTCAGCTTTTACAAAACTAGATGGGCTGTACCCAGGGGCGGACTGACAACTCATGGGGCCCCCGGGCAATAGGGGATCATGGGGCCCGTGTCCTCGCCCACACCCAAAAAAGCCTATGAAAGGTACCAGGGGCATCTCATGGGGGCCCCCTACTGACCCGGGCCCTCGGGCAGTGCCAAAGTGCTCAAATGGTCAGTCCGCCCCTGGCTGTACCAGTATGTGGACCTCCCTTTGGGGTTATATGGGGCACCAGTGTCATTACAAAGAATGATGGACTGTATTGTTTAATCCCCACAAAGTATTAGGTTCAGCAAATCTAGATGATAATGCTATTTTACTCGTGACCTGGATTCCCACCTACAAATAATCCATGAAGTTTTTAACTCCATTCATAAAGCCAGGTTAACAACCAATCCCAAAAAATGTGTGATAGGTCTGGAATAATCCAAATATCTGGCCAAATGTATTGGGCAGGGGTTATAAATAAACTACTGGATTAGATCAAAACAAAGAAACGTTGGCCCTAGCAAGTGCCAAAAACAGGTTTGAACTATTCTAGGAACTGCAGAATGTTTCTGAAGGTCTGTGTCTAACTTTGCAACTACAGCAGCTTCAATTATGGATCTCATTAAAGGACACAAAGTTCACTATGACGCAATGGATTTAAAGAGCTGAAAGCAGTACTGTGTAAGGGAATGGTGATAATCACTTCAAACTTCAGGCGCAAGAATTTCTTGTACTAACAGATGTCTCTGATATTAGCTAATAAGCAGGCTTATTCCAGGAAACGAATTAAAAAAGCGTACAGTAGCATATCTCAACTGAAAACCAACCCCCCTGCAGAGAAAAAAACTATTCAATAATGAAAAAAAGGAGTGTCTAGCCATAGAGTGGGCATTTGAGTCATTGAGGTAACAGCTTTGGGGTCCACAGTTCCAATTGTTTACAGATCATTGGTTTGGAACAAAAACAATAATACAAAGGGTTTCTGGCTCTGTAAGACTTTAAATGTTATATAGAACGCAGGCCAGGAAGCCAGCAAGGGAATGCTGATGGACTGTCACTTTCCCACTGTATTATGGCAAAATATGCTATGGTATTTCCTTGAGGGGAAGTAGCATATTAGCATAAGGGGAAAGTATATAAGGCACTAGCAGGAAGGATTGTGGATATTGTGTATTTGTTATATGTTTGAGCTAACTGATCCTCAGGACTCTCTCTCTCTTATGCTCTCTATTGTCTAAGCTTGATAGTGAATGAGAGAGTTGTGTGCTAAAAGAACACTAAAGGTTTATTCACACAACTGGAATGATTTACTAAAGGTAAAAATGCTGTTCAGTTTGGAAGGAAAGTTGCATTTGGCAATTAAATTTGCTCCAGAGTTTAGTAAATATATTTATGTTTCACTTTGCAAAGAATGCCCAATTACATACAAGGAAAGCATTTTATTTCACCTCATTCACTAAGCTCTGGGGCAAATTGCCTTGCAAAATGCAACTTACTTTGTAAAGTGAAAAGCCTATTTTCCATTAATAATTCAACCCTGATGCCCATTGAGCTGAATTTTCTGCACAACACCACACATATGTGGTGTGAACAGGGCATAATTGTTTTCTATGGGTTTTTGTTCACAATAATTATGTGCAGTGGTGTGAAGAGAAAAAAAGATCAATGGGCATTGTGTGAACAAGACCTAGAAATGGTACTCACTGTCTGTTTTGGGAAACTCCTTTGCTTGGCTTTAGTGGCTTGGATGGGTAGATGTTTTGTTTGTTTTATGCTATAGTCTTGCTGTACAAAGTCCTCCTGCATTGAAATTGTGTTTGCTGCCTTGTTAAAATGCAATAAAACCTATGTAGGCTGTTTCTGTCTGTCTCAAACATTATTTAGGGCTTTTGAAAACAGGAACCTATTTTTGAAGAAAATGGAAGAACTTGTGAAACAGTTTATAATGGCAAATGCTAAATAAAAAGAAGTGAACAACTTACCCACTCAGTAAATGCAGGACCTGACTATAGCCCACCAGACCTCTTTATAGGAACAGCAGCAAGTGAGCCTTTTGAACAGCAGCAATTACTGCTATAGTCTGGATATATGTTCACTTTAAAGTAGCCCTATTGATGTGAAGAAAAAAACAACTTTCCTGTCATCCTTTCTCTGTTCAAAAGACCATACAATAGACCAACAGAACATGTAAGTATAAAGGTTCCTTGTTTGCAGTTTTTGTTTTGTTTTCACATCAAACAGGGTAGCTTTAAGTACTGAGCAAATAGGCTCCTTGTATGGATTTCAAGGTTTAATTTTCAATTTTAACTGGAGGGTACCGCTAAACATTTTCCCTTCATTACTGCTCCCCGTGAGTTTAAATTTAAGAGCTGATATTGAATCCTGATGTTTAAATACCCACCTATGCCAGCTATGTGGCAGTCAATTCCTGAGAAAATACTTAATGTCATTCTTTCACTGTATTCTTAGTATTTACTGCCATTCAAATTTAGATTGTTTGCTGTTCAACAGAGCACAATGACATATAATAATACACTCCACTTAATTAAGTCTAACCACTGACTTAGCAAAGCTGCACATCAGCACTGAATGGTGACACATGTGTGAACATCATAGATTGCACTGCGAGTTTAGAATAAGAGTGCCATTTAAAGATACTGCACTTGCAGCAACTGCAATGTTGTATTGTTATTCGCACCCTTTCAAAACATTTACATTTTAATATTAGTGGATTTTATGCTAATAGAAACAAATCATTAGAAACATTGGGTGAGGCTGAAGCTTTTCTCTTTCCCCATATCCCTTTTCTCTTTGTTATTTATTTTCCCTTTCCTGATCTACTGATGCTCACATTTAGAACTGAGCCATTACTGGGATTCAAGCCAGAGAAGTATAGCACTCTGAAGGAAGCCCAAAAGCACCTGCAATGACATTGCTTTCACCACCCCTTAAATTATAATCCATTTTGCAGATACGTTGGTATTTGGTAGGTGGGAAGAACAAATCTGGCCCCTTCATGACATGGCTGAAATTAAAAATCCAGTATATGAATGCTTAACAAATAAAGAATTGAACAAAAAAGAAACTACATAATGATCCAACAGCATATTCTCATTACAAGTAAATGCAGAAACCCAGTAATTTATGTGAAAATCCATATTATTTAATTCAATAAATAATTAACCCCAAAAAAAACTCCAAAAGATCTGTAAGGAAAACATTTTAGTGACAGTGGAAAAGAAAATGAATACATTAGACATACATTTCAAAAACTTCAACAATGGTTTAAAAGTGATAGAAAAGCCTAACTCAAACTATTCTTTGAAAGTTCCCTCCTTCCTCCTACCTTTTCTGCACAGCCTGTATATAAAAAAAAAAAAAAAAAAGAAGATCTGGTACTTACCTATTTTTAATCTGTTTCAGTCTGGTCACATGCAGGGGTGGACTGACCATTTGGAAACTCGGGCACTGCCCAAGGGCCCGGGGTCAGTAGGGGGCCCCATGAGATGCCCCTGGTACCTTTCTCAGAATAGGTAGGGGGGGTAATGTTTTTAGGAATAGTTAGTGTGAGGCTTTACTACCAACCTAAGTGTTTGTCTCTATAAAAAAAAAAAAGAGAAAGAGGGCGCACCAGCCTAGTGCGTTACCAGAGATAATACCTCTATTAGATCCAAAGTAGATATATACTTAAACAACTGTGGTAACAAAAACCTTATCAAAGTTCAAAGCAACCAAATCACCAGATCAGTTTCCAATCACGAGAAGACCTTGTAGATGGCCGACATGTTTTGAGGAGCAGACTCTTCTTCCTCAGAGCCAGAGGAGACAGCTCTTCAAAACGCATCAACCATCTTGAGGGTCCTCTAGTAATTGGGGGCTGATCTGGTGATTTGGTTGCTTTGGACTTTGATACGCTTTTGTTACCATAGTTGATTGTGAATGAGTATATATCTACTTTGTATCTAATAAAGGTATTATCTCAGGTAATTCACTAGGCTGGTGCGCCCTCATTCTCCCTTGTTTTTACAATGATTTTCTCTGGGTTTCCCCCCAAACCTTAGAGGGCAGCAAGGTCTATGCAAACACTGGTTGAGTTAAGGACCTGATACGTTTCCACCACAGAACACCACTCTTGAGCACACGGGACTTTTACTTTTGTCTTTCTTAAGTGTTTGTCTACAGGATCATACTTGAGATGATAGCAGTAATTACTGCAAAGAAGAACAGAGCACTCAGTAAAATTTAGGGCATGTGCTATGGGTGCCAGTGTTTAGCAGTTTTCCTGCTTTATATAAAAAACTATAATAAATTGAGCAATACTGTCAAAGTTATTATTATTATATATTTATTCAAGAAAGAAGTAAGAACCTTAATTGAAACAATAGGAGAATGAATGTCCATACAACTATTAGAATAAAGGTTAACATTTGAAAAATGGGTAAATTCCCTTATCTATAGCATTTGCTTGCACATATAAATTCTTTGTTTTATATATACATTTGCATTTCTATATACATTTAACACATATAAATTCTGTATATTTGATGCATTACAGACATAATTTGAGTACATAATTTGGGATTAAAGAAGGTCAGTATTAAAATTTGTTACAACTTACAGTATACATCAACATTTGGAAAAATTAAAAGAAAACATTTGCAATTTAAATAAATCTGTAATGTTTCCCAGTGAACACACATTTAGCACTATTATGATATTGTTTTCCTTAAAGTAACTTTTGATGTGACTTTCACATTTTTCATGTATTTTTGGCAATTAGTTAAATATAGTGATTTGTATATTAGCCAAAAGATGGAGATCTATATTTCACCGCAAGCACCCTGAATCACTGCTTAAGGTAGACCTATGTTCAAAAAGTGAAAATTTGCTATCATATAGGGAGCATCTAGTAAGGGTAATTGTTAACCAAATCAAACCAAGGTAAATCTGTGCCAAACAATCAAATAAAATTTGTCAAGTAGCTGCGTGCAATTGTGATACCAATTAAAACATTAATATAACAGAAAAGCAGAGCTGGACATCCAAATAAAATACAAACATGAAATCATATGTGAAAGTCCATACAGTCCATGTGTGAGTAAATCTTTAAACATAA